GTGGGCTTCGAAAAAATTGCATCAAGAAAATATCTAGTACCCTTCCTTGGTATAATATGTGACTTGTCGTTTATCCCAAGCGTAAATTTCGTAGCATCTGATAAATGCCACAAATTTATAAAGTCGCGCACTTGTGTGAATATTTCATTGACTGAAAAATCCTGTATAGTAACCCAATCAATACTCTTCTCTTTGTATTCAGCATCGAAGCTAAGAAATTCATGATGTACTTTTGTGGTCTTAGTCCGAGGCCTTGGATTAGGATAAAAGAATTCGCCTCCCACATCACTCAATATCAGTTGCACGGCTGTATTAACTGTTGCATTAACCGTATTCGTCAATGTTTGCACAATGTCCTCCAGATCGAAATCTTTTATATTGTTATATGATGCTGATCCAACAGGAATGCAGCCATCATTATTTTCGGAGCAACTGGTCATTGGATGAGAGGCCATTACAATTAAACAAATCCGAAAATATATGACAAATAGAAGTTAAAAATCTAATATTTTTGGTACGTAGTTACATAATTATTTTTTTGAAATGCGTTTTGTACAGAAAACAGTAAATGGTAGGCAAGAAATTACGTTTGTTATGAAGTGGTTACTAAATCCAAGTCATATTCCTACTAACATTGATGATTCATATTTAAAATAATGTGAAAAAATTACGTTTTAATTTATTAATGTAATTAATGTTACATTTTACTTTTGCTTAACTAAAGCAAAAAGAGTATTAATTCAAAACATATGAAATCTAACAATCTTATATCTATACTTGTACCAAGACCTTAATTTAAAAGATATAAAATTAAAATTAGTGCTAACTAAATTCTAATTTAATACTTAAAACTGTTGTGTCATGGTATTTTAGTTTTTAAACCCCCAAAGCCAGTTAAATTTTCAGCTGCTAATGAGTAATTTTGTTATTAACCAAAGTTTGAAATACGTCCACAAGCTTACACTTATATTAAGATTTAAATACGTTACAATCATTTTTATTNTTGTTGTGTCATGGTATTTTAGTTTTCAAACCCCCAAAGCCAGTTAAATTTTCAGCTGCTAATGAGTAATTTTGTTATTAACCACAGTTTGCAATACGTCTACAAGCTTACACTTATATTAAGATTTAAATACGTTACAATCATTTTTATTCGCACAGGATATCGAATATGAAACTAGCACTAGCACTCAAATGTTAAAATAAATGTGTCAGCAGCAGCGGCACGTTCACCATGTCTCATTTTAACATTCGGTACCATTTTAATTACATATAAACGTATTTAATATAGAATTAAGCGTTCGTTGCATACTTCATATAATCTTACGAAGTTGACTTGAACAGCTGGGTGCAGTCATTGTAAATAATTACTACGCACTACTAGAAATGTATTTTTCTATCTCCCATTCGCCACCATATTTACTCCGGGTAAATGGGAGCAGTACAATCATCGTGCCATACTACCTGATACTTCACGTTGCGATTCATGCGCTTCTGTCTGCCCGTAACAATATTTGGGCAGCCCATCGCGGTATTTGTTTTCATGGGCTACAGAGTGCGAGTTGGTGCGGCACTTAACTAAACACAACTCGAAATGATCCTCTACATGGGCATATACAGCTGCCTGCCGGCCAGTAATTGTGCGCAAGACTAGCTCCAGCAATGTACGCTTTGCCGGGTGCAGGCAGCAAGATACACAATATTCATACATATCACAGCAATGTGTCGTTGCATTGCATGTGTCGCATGTGTAATATTTTGTTTCGGACACTTCCACATCACAGCAATTACTGGGCAGTAGTAGATGTTCGCGACGGCAGAGGAAGCCGCGATCATCGACGAGCAAATCGCGTCCCTGCACAGAGTTGCGGCAACGCATATCTGGATCGTTGGTGCGATTTTGTGGTTCGTCAGGCAGTAGGTGTTCCTGGAGTGTGCGCCAAATGAGCGGGCGTGTGCGCTGAACGGTGAGCACATTATCCGCATGTAGGGCGCTAAGACCGCCATGCTAAGGGAAGGTATTTAGATATGGTTAATCAGTACTGGCCATTTGTTGTCGCCAATCAGCACTCACCTTAAGTAAATTCGTTACTAAAAATATTACGGCAAGTAATGTGATGGTAATGTAGAGTATACGTCGGCCAAGAAAGCGTGGCCACATTGTTCTTTGGTATCTTAAATCGACGTAGTCTTCACTGCTGGCACGCTAGCTGCCGAGATTGTAGTCATAGCGCCGCATGTGTTTACAGGGCTCCCTCGAGGTCTCCACCTAAATCTTCATTGGCGTGACCACCATTGTACGTAGTTTTTTAATTTAAAACATTGTAAATACCGTTTTTACGATTTATCTAGTACACAATTTTTTATAAAAACAATGCGCCAATAAGTGTTTTCTATTTTTCTTTTTTTTTAATGTAGAAATGCCAGTGTGCAGGAATACAACAAAACAAAAGCACGAATTGCAGCTTGCGAACAGCTGTTGAGTAGTGTTGCCGGATGAATGTAATTTAATTTTTATTTACTTGTTTTTCTGAGTGATTATGAAACTTGGAAACTTCGATTATTTTTTTTATCAAAGAATGTAGAATGTTTGACTTTACCTAGTTGTTGCCCCTGAACGCAAATCTATAGATCTTACGTTTATTTCATTTAATTCTTTAGCGCCCACAAAGAGGTAAGAAAACTAAGTGCAACCCTGGTCATGTGTATGGTTTGTGCCCGAGGTAAACTTAATTAGCTGCTATTTCCGGTGCAATGTTCGTAATGTGACTTTTTGACGTTAGTTCTTTAAGTGCCCACACTCACCGACGTGAACGTACATTAACGTCCCTACAAGAAAAGGACCTTTTCTTGACCTCTTTACTAAAGCTCTAAAATATACACCAAACACAGAAACACATTTGTAAAAATAACCTTAGGATATACATTAAGTAGAAAAGGAACCTTTTAGCACTGCTGGCAAAATTCCCATTTGAGAAAGGCACGCATAGTCACATGTACACAAAAGAACTGGTCAGGTTTTTCATATTACCCCCGAATTTCTGATAAGGAAATTGCAGCATTATTGCATCAGACTGACCGTTAGGTGACCGGCCAAGTAACTACTGCAGCCAAATTACTTAAAATTGATATATACAGTGAACTTTAAGCAAAAAATATAGTATTTGATACATTTTTTTAAATGGGCGTTTTCAAGCCTACTTATCATAAAATGTGTGTACCCGCCTAACGGATTTCATCCAAACTTAGTGCACTCATTAGCCCCATTCAAAAAGTTTTTGCAAATTTTTTACATCAGAAAATAACCACGCTGAGCTCCCATGTATTGGTATTTTCGAAAGATACAAATTCTACGATATTTTTCGATATAATAACGCTAAATTTCTCAGGCTTGTATTTTGAAAAATTTATAATAAATTAGTTTTTTTTATAAAATAAATAGATTTTTATTAAAAGGTTGTAGCTATGGTATGCTGAATTTAAGCTATATTTTAACTAAAAACAAGAAAATGAGTTGATATGGGGTGTGCAATCAAAATTAATATCTGTAGTACAAGAAATTACACAGTAACTCAAACAAGCGTTCACTTGTTGATTTTTTTTTAAATATTCACAATATGTCTTATCCTGAGTATCACCTTAAAAAATTCATCCGAAAATTTGTCATCGGACCATAGTAAAACCATGGAAACCGAGAGTGAAAAGTGAACCGATTCAGGGAAAATGAAACTCATGATAAGGCTGAATGTTTTCGAAATTAAATCTTTATGCTAATTCTCCATATAAATATTCAGCCTTATCATGAGTTTCATTTTCCCCGAACCGGTTCACTTTTCAACACTCTTGGTTTCCATGGGTAAAACTATGGGCGGATGAAAATTTTCGGGTGAACTTTTTTCAGGCGAAACTCGGGATTAGGCAGATTGCTCATGCTATTACCAAAACCACATAAATTAAAACGTTAATTTTTTATAAAAACTCTAGTAACATACTTTCATTAAAACTTCTTACTTTTTGACAAATTCATGTCGTGTCATGAAAGATCGTTCAGATATAAAATTTGAAAAATTAACGCGAATTTTCAACCTTTTGAAGCTAGTTTTCTATCTTACTAAAATTTCATACCATATAAAACTGCTAATTTTCTAAAAACTTAGTTTAATAAATTTGTTGAATGTTGTTCTAAATTTTGAAAAAAAGTTTGAAACTTTAATTTATATGGCTTTAATCATACATGATGCAATTTGGTAGCATGTTTTGATAAAAATACAACTTCTCTCACCAGTTCGAATGCTTGCTTTTCACGTTTTTTTACCCTATGAGCCCCTTTTCAAAACCGTTGAAGCCTTTTACGAATATTTTTGACTCGCAAATCAATATCAGGAGTATTCACATTTTCGAAATCTGGTAATGTCTTCTGACTCATGAACCAAAACCAAACCAAAATTTAAAGTTGTGTAAAAATTTTTGTAGTTGCACAATTTATCGATTCGAGAAATTAATGCGCTGATGAGAAAACGAAAACTCGTATATCGAGACGATAAAGTGGCCGGTAATCTAAAGGTTAGATGAGAAAACGGCCCTTAGAAGTATTGAGTCACTGAAAACACGATTCACAATGAAAATATGTTTTGTCAACTTTCGAGAGTGAGGAAGTAATCTAAAAAAATTTGTATCGCAAAAAAAAATTACACTGTAATAAAGTATCATTAATAATGACTGATTGCCTGTCAATGTATCACAGGATAGACAATGTGCATATTTTTGAGTTTTGACCTCCGGCGGAACCACTGTGCAGCTGTTCAAACGATTTGAAAGTTGAATAAGCAAAAAAAGTACATCTGCATTTTCACCTTCTTAAATATATCGCAGCGAATAAATATCAAGTTTTGTAAGTATGTTTGTTAATTTGCTTGCGTATGATTTAGCAGATCGGCAAATGATAAAAAAACTGCTATGTAAACAAAAAATGGCGCCCACGGTGTACTTAACAGTTTTACCAGTTTTTACACGAAAAGCGTTGCCATACTTTTCGGGTTTCCGCTATTTCTCTGAGAGCAATTTTGCTTTTTGTCAGTTTTACAGGTTTTATCAAGTAAAGTTGAGGAACGAAACTTTAGTTGAGTTGTGGCTGAGACAATAAATTTACATCTGGTGTCTGTCCCCGGTATAACATAGCGCAGGACTTCAAAGGGAAGAGGACTGAAGTAGCACTCGCCTCTGAAATCATGGATGAAGAAATTGGGGTAGGGGACTCGAATTCTTTAGTTGTTGCCTGAGTTATATGACATAATATAATGCGATCTTTATAAATAAGTGAAAGTTTTATTTCACATACAGTTACTCACAAAATTAAGTATACGCCGATTTCTTAGTACATATGTACATATCGACTGCTGAGTGGAATATCGACCTATCTCGGCAGCTAGTTCGAAAACGCCCTATCTCAAAAAGC